GGTCCTTGTTGCTTAGGGTTGCAAAAGCAAGGATTGGGATACGTTGAGGGGTGAGAGTGAGAGAGAGAGAGAGAGAGAGAGAGAGAGAGAGAGAGAGAGAGAGAGAGAGAGAGAGAGAAGAGAGAGATAAGGGGTTGGGGCGGGGATATGTACTTGTTGATGTGGGGGTAGGGGTAGGTGTGGTGTGGGTAGGGTGTGAGTATGGGTGTGGGTGTGGTTGCTAGTGAAGGTGAGGGTGTGCCTGTTGGTGAGGGTGTGGGTGTTGGTGAAGGTAGGGTGTGGGTGTTGGTGAAGGTGAGGGTGTGCCTGTTGGTGAGGGTGTGAGTGTTGGTGAAGGTGTGGGTGTGGGGTGGGTGTGAGTTACCTAGCCGGAATATTGTGCCGGAATATGATGATGAAGATGATTCTGGTTCAAAACCCTGACAACACGTCCTTGTACTTCAGTTGATATCCAAAGTTTTCAAGGTTTTCTGAGTGCAATGCTCGTCTCGTTCCTATTGGAGAAGAAACTAAAATTGGAGGTCCTGTCTGTTGCTTAAACTGTGCAGTGTTGAAAGGGGCCTAAAAATCAAATTATTACACCTTTATTTTTTTATCTGACCGGCAGGGGCGGACAATTCTTCCACATACATCTGTATCGCTCGAACCTACGCTCAGGCTTTCAACTACTTTAGCGGCCACGACAGTCCCAACTTTGAGCACTGGAAGTCCGTGAAGGTCGAGGTCACATCGACGAACAACGAGGATCTTGCCAATAGGATTGCGGCACTCGAGGAAGGTTATCTTGACCTTATGGAGAGCAACGTTGATCTCAAAGAGAACATCTTAGATCTTCAGAAAAGGGTTGCTCAGCTGGAGTGCAATAAGGCCAAGCAGGTGAGGGGCAACCTTTTGTGTTTTTGTTGTACGACCCGAAAGACACTTCCCGCGTGGGTTAGGGGCTAATAAATAAACCCACTGCTCCACTAGCGGGAGCTGCGACCCCTCCAATGGTGATATGTCGCCCATGAACACCTTCAATCAGGTGTGTCTAGGGGACATTTACTTAGGTGTATCTTCTGACTCTGTCTTCTGTCATCTCTCTTTCTTATTTTTTCTTCCTTCCCCGAGCTGACCGGGTAATAGAATAAAAAATAGTCCTATCAACATTGGGCTTCAACCCCCCCCCCCCACCTCCTCCCCCCCCCCCCCCCCCAACCCGGCTGATGGGACGTCATTAGCTCTCGGATGCAGGGTTGGCATGTTTTGTCCCTTCTTGGTAGGTCTTCTGTCCATCTATCTTTCTTTCCGATCTGTCGACCAAAGGTCCGGTCTAGCAAAAAATCGATACCGCATCCCCACAACGTGAGGCACCCTGTTGACCATGGGGTGCAACCACTGACCTTACCTTTTTAGGTCAGTGGGTGCGACCCGTACGAACTGAGAAAGGGATCCTGGTGGCTAAGGCGTGGCTTCCCTCACCAACACGCCACTTTGGCCCTGGACTCGGTCTAGAGACGGATGGGTGTAGTTGCCTACAGCACTCAATCGGTTACAACTGGTTCGTAGAACTGGTTTTTGGCCAATCTTGGTTGGAAGACGAGATTTCTTGCCGTCTGATTGGGAGCATACTGGCACCAGCAATAGACTTCTGAGCGGTGTGTTCTTGTTGCACTCGGTGGCGGATGGAAAGCCCTGGAGATGAATAAAAATGTGAGGAATCAGGCTCTCGTCAATTTTTGGGCATGTAGAGTTATTGGTAGCATCGTAAGGCTTGTTCACTTGTGTTTATTTGGATGAAAAAATATCCATTTATCTTGAATGCAAGTCAAGATATTTGCGAATGAAGGAGGTGGGGGTCACCTGTTTTCAGAAGTAGAATTAGAGAGAAAATGGCTACCAAAGATTTGTTATTTCCTTACCTTAAGAGTCCGCAATAACTGAAAATGTACATTTTTTGTGCCTTTAATCAACATTTTTCAGAACAATCCAAACAGAAATGAGTTCTTTAATGGGCATGAAAGGTGTTGAGCTAAAAAAACAAAAATATGATAAAAATTCAAAAACCAAAAGAAAAAACAAGTTTCTTCACTTTGATTATTTTGACGAGAGCCTGATTCCACCACGCTGCCTCACAAATGTTTACATGGATACAAAAACAAATATTTCTTCTACCCCAAAGCCCAGTAAGTCCCAGACAGGAGAAGCAGGTGCAACTTCTGGCCCGGGCAACCGAAAGAAGGGCCTTCCGGGCACCGATGCTGACAGCATCTGGGACATGCCAAAGAAGACGTCCTTGGGGTGGTAACCATTTGTGGCGATCTCCCCAAAAGATGAAAAACAGGATAAAACACCTTTGAGTGTGTTCGCAATACACAAATCACTAAATTGGAATAATAAAGCCTAAAATAGAAAAAGTTAAAACATCCAATCTGACAAAGGTAAGACACCCAACTACTTTCCTAATTCTTTCAGACTCTCCTCTCTCTCTCTCTCTCTCTCTCTCTCTCTCTCTCTCTCTCTCTCTCTCTCTGTCTCTCTTTCTCTCTCTCTCTCCCTCTCTCTCTCTCTCTCTCTCTCTCTCTCTCTCTCTGTATCTCTCTCTCTCTCTCTCTCTGTATCTCTCTCTCTTTCTCTCTTGTCTGAAACCTTTAAAGTAAAGCGCTCTGACACCTCCGACAACAGAATTATTAAAATTCCAATTAAACTGCATTTTTACGTCTATCTGGAAAAACTGTTACAATAGCTTGGCTTCCAAGCCATGTAGGCATTGACGGCAACAATACCGTTGATCACTTTGCCAAAGAATCTCTAAAACTACCTGAAAACAAAAGTAGTAAAATCCCATTCTCTGACATGAAACCGAAAGTAAATGAACACATCACATCCTCCTGAACCCAAATTTAGAACCAACAAATACACAACAAACTCCTGTACATTCAACCGCAACTTACGCCCAGGAAATCCGTGGCTCTTCTACGAAGAGAGAACGTTATTTACACCAGATTAAAAATTGGACACACGCACGCCACGCACAAACATTAATTTACTTGAAGGAGATGAAGCTCCTTTGTGCGTGGCGTGCCACACAAAGTTTTACTGTTCGGCACATTCTAACAGAATGTGTCCATATTTATCATAAAAGTATGAAATACTTCAGATGCAGGGACACCAAAACTCTTTGTGACGTCGTTGAATCAAACATGATTTTGAGCTTCATGAAAGAAATTGGACTGTTTCCAAAAATGTATTTTGATTTTATATTATACACCAAAATTGATATTGTAAATACGCATGTAAATAAAACTTTTACCATACACTGATTTCTATAAATGTCTGTCCGTCTTTTTAAAGCAGTTTTAGATTTGCGGCGGTAAAAACCTTTTTGGCACTTACATGACCAAAACTGAGTAAACAGCGCTGTAAAACCCCTACTCAATTTTTTTTTAAACACCCAAAAAAACACCAAATAAAATGCCTGCTAGGACGTTGTTCTCTCTCTCTCTCTCTCTCTCTCTCTCTCTCTCTCTCTCTCTCTCTCTCTCTCTCTCTCTCTCTCTCTCTCTCTCTCTCTCTCTCTCTCTCACTCCCTCTCCCTCTCCCTCTCTCTCTATATATATATATTTGTTTTTTTTTGTTTTTTTAAATTTATATATATATGAGAGGTGAACAAATAATAATAGGCCGAAAATCCAGACCCTGCTGTTGATTATTTATAATGCTTGTTTGTTTTTGTTTGTGTTGGTTTTTTAACGTGTTATTTTGGGGAATTTTTGTTTTGGTTTTGTTTTCGGGTTTTTTATTGGGGAGGGGGTGGGTTGTTGTTACTTTTGCTCGCCTTTTACGCCACAATAGACACAAATAGGTAGACATTCTAACGAAAAATATATCATGTTCTACAGTTCATCTAGATACAAGATGTTCCATTGTGAGCAAAACAACAACACCAACAACAATAACAACAACAACAACAACAAACACAGCTACGACAAAAAACAAAACAAACAACAACAACAACAACAACAATAATAACTGTAAGAAAAATCCTACTTTGATATCCACCTCTCCCCCAGGACGCTAAAGTCTCCATCCTCCACAACGCCCTGTTCATCGCGTCTGACGCCTATAATGGCCACCACTACTATCTGACTCAACACCAACCCACTTCCTACACCAACGCTGAGAAAGTCTGCAACGCCATGGGCGGATACCTTGCAGAGGTGGACACCGTAACAGAGTTTCGCTTCATTCAAGCTTTCTTACGTCGGAAGATAAAGAGCAGTCAAGTTATCCTTCTAGGAGGTACGGATGCCAACAGCGAGGGTACATTTATTAACCCTAACAGCAGCACGCAGGGCTACTCAGAATGGTACCGGAACCAGCCGGATAATGGTGGTTATAAGGAGCACTGCAGGTCGATTATGGAGTCCTTAGGACACGACATAGGCAAATATCTCATGAACGATATCCCCTGTGACATTGTAAATGACAACTTTTATAAGCATGGTTACCTGTGCGAGGTGCCATCAACTGTTGATGTCAGACAAGAGACCTGTGAGTTTTAAAGCAGGAAGTTCTATTTTGTTGCATATCTTAAGATTATGTATTCTGCTTGCTACTAAGACATGATGTGCTAAGAATAATTCCTTCTTTTGGTATGTATTTCAAATAATTATTAATTATATCCATTCAAGGTATCAGGAAAGAAACAAGACGTCCAATTCCAACACTCAGCGGTGAAAAGTACAACACCTTGTATAACAATCAATTACTGTAATTTCAAAATCTTCACAAATACTTGCAGTGGAAATGAAGAAGCGCAATTCTAATGAAATCAGATTTTATTTTTCTCTGATCATTGCAAATATTCAAAACGAGCTCCTTTCCCCTCGTCAAACCGTCGCACATGTCTTACAAAACTCGACATCACATTTTAGCTAAGTTACTTTTGCCTTAGTCATGGTCAATCACCTTATTTCACGCTTCAGTTCAGCGTGATCTCCTGGACAACACTCTTTAACTTAAAGAAACCTCATCAGAAAAAGCACAAAATAAAACAAGCAACCCCCCCCCCCCATAACAACCCAAAAAAGCCACACAAAAAAGATGGGCATAATTCCGAGGATTGGTCACCCAATTGTTCCCTTTTTTCCTTCAAATCAAGCGATCATGGAAAACGTCTTGCAGCAGTATGTTGATGGTTGCTCTAGCTGTGTTAGGCGGTACTCCATCCTGTTAGAGCTACGCTTGCTGTGCATCCAAGCCCTTTCCCTGTCTCCTAAGCAATGTTTTAAACCACATGAAAACTGACCTGTAATTTATCCCATTTATCTATCGTCACAGTTGTACATGTTTAGCGCTCAAAGAAAAAAAAACACACGATCAACTCACTGCCCGTTGCACACCATAATAATATGCGACTTGGGAAGGGGGGGGGGTGAAGTGGGCTTCCAGTTCCAGCATCTCACTGAAGATTTGACTATCTATTCAGGTTTTACAGTGTGTCTCGTCACTAAAGCATACGTGTCACAACGCGGTGGAATTCGGCCCTCGACAGAATAAGGAAATCGATTAAAGCGACATTTTCCCGTCCGTTGTTCAATTTTTATCGATTTTTAAATTTTGGGCTCAACACTTTTTATGTCCACCATAAAGCACATTATTGTGTGGATTTTACTGAAAAGGTTTGATCAAAGACAAAAATGGTATGTAAATTTTGCAGTTTTCAAGAACACTTTGGAAGTCATCAAACTTTGGTAGCCACTTTGTCACTAATCTTACCTTTTACATTAGTTGACCCCTACCTCCTTCATTCGGAAATATCTCAACTACTATTCAAGATAGATAGGTATGTCTTTCCTCAAAAGAAAGACAAATAAACAAGCTCTAAGACAATACCAATAACTCCATTTACTCACTAATTGACGAGCGTCTGATTCCACCCCATGGTAACACATACGGATCCGACTTACTCTTGATCCAGTGCTACAGACCATAGATACTATAGATGGGTCCATGTCTGTGTTCCCTAGCTCTATGTTCCCTAGCCCTATGTTCCCTAGCTCTATGTTCCCTAGCTCTATGTTCCCTAGCCCTATGTTCCCTAGCTCTATGTTCCCTAGCTCTATGTTCCCTAGCTCTATGTTCCCTAGCCCTATGTTCCCTAGCCCTATGTTCCCTAGCTCTATGTTCCCTAGCTCTATGTTCCCTAGCCCTATGTTCCCTAGCTCTATGTTCCCTAGCCCTATGTTCCCTAGCCCTATGTTCCCTAGCCCTATGTTCCCTAGCCCTATGTTCCCTAGCCCTATGTTCCCTAGCTCTATGTTCCCTAGCTCTATGTTCCCTAGCCCTATGTTCCCTAGCTCTATGTTCCCTAGCTCTATGTTCCCTAGCTCTATGTTCCCTAGCCCTATGTTCCCTAGCCCTATGTTCCCTAGCTCTATGTTCCCTAGCTCTATGTTCCCTAGCCCTATGTTCCCTAGCTCTATGTTCCCTAGCCCTATGTTCCCTAGCCCTATGTTCCCTAGCCCTATGTTCCCTAGCCCTATGTTCCCAAGCTAGGGCCGCGTTAACTAAGTGCGGGGCCCTAGGCTGTCCATGAGCCGCGGGGCCGGGCCCCTGGATGACGTTGATGCCTACTACTACCGCATTGTGACCCCGTACTGATGGAAAGCTATACTGTAAAACGCGATTAGATGTGGGCCTACCGGTATCCACCAATAATGTGGATTAAGACGACGACAAGCACATTTATAGATCTATTTGTGTTACAAAGTATGAGGCAGCCGAAACATAGATTATCAGCAGCAGCCACAACAACAGCAACAGCGGTAGCATCAACATTCTTCTCATCAACATCAACAACAACAACAACAACTGTAAAAACAACAGCAATACAAACAACAACAACAATTCAACTTCAACAAGACGACAATTTTTTGGGTTGAAAAACATTTTTAAACGTCGAGTTTGCAAGCGCGGGGCCCCCTGAGGCGCGGGGCCCTAGGCTACAGCTTAAACAGCCTTACGGGTAACGTGGCCCTGGCTCTATGTTCCCTCAGCTCTATGTTCCCTCAGGTCTATGTTCCCTCAGCTCTATTCAAGTGACACGATGACCAAAGGTCAACTAATGGTCAGAGTGACCAGTTGTCAAGCAATGGTCAGTGTGATAGTGTTCAAGCAATTGTCAGAATGATCATTGGTCAAGCAATGATCGGAGTGACCAGTGATCAAGCAATGGTTAAACTGACCAGTGGTCAAGCGTAAGTTTATAATGAAAATGACGTGAGTGTGTGTGTGTGTGTGTGTGTGTGTGTGTGTGTGAGAGAGAGAGAGAGAGAGAGAGAGAGAGAGAGAGAGAGAGAGAGAGAGAGAGAGAGAGAGAGAGAGAGAGCTAAGGAACATAGGGCTAGGGAACATAATAGGGCTGCCCGCTATAGATTTATTTCATTCTAACCAATAGCCTACCCCATCTCAAGTCTGAACCCGACGTTTTATAATGACAGGGACAAGATAAGAGATAACATATAGGTGTATAGGTATTCTCTCAAAACCCGATGAAGCAAAGTAGATCGCTCGCGACTCGTCGAGAGAGGAGCATTGGAAACAGAATCAACAAACCGCCTCTCATATTGTTTTTTTTTGTGTGTGCTGTATGGACAAAGGAGTAAAGCAAGTGTATTCCAGTATAAATTTATTATGAATTTTTTTAAAAAGACTTTTCAAGAATATTCGTGAAATTTGGTATGAATAAGATTTACTTTTATATGCATAATGCAATTGGTTCCATTCGAATCGGCTTGACCAGTGTGAAAATATAGCAATCTGGAAGTGACTGTTGTAACTAGTAGGCCTGCTGTATGTATTCATTTCTGTGTGTCAATGTCCCAGTTGTAACACAAATATTCTACATGATCAATAAAGTGGGTTCTAATATGCCTTTGCAATATATCCTTTGCTCGTACTTTCTTCAGATACTGTCATGTTCCGAGATTACAGAATATTGTGTTATTTGTTTAAACTTATCAAAAAGTTGTGTTCGTGATACATGCCTTCTGTTGGCGTAATCAGAGTAATGTCCTAAAATATAGGTAGATATGCATTGTTTAAATGGCCATTAAACAAATACTTTGTAGTGACTCTCCGAACACTTAATTAACTCACAACACAGCAGCTGACATAACGACACTTTATATATATTATTATGTTCTAAGAATACCCTCCCTCCAGTTAACATTTTTAGAAACTATACTTCCTGATTTAAATTATTGTTTCATCTGTTACAATTATCGACGTTTTCCTCTGAGAGGAAATCATGTCCCCCATTAACACAATTATTACTTACCTGTGTTCTCAGAATCATAATTATGCCCTGTTTGTTTACATTTAATTGAAGTGAAAAAGACGAGACTGTAAAGGACTGTTTTTCTGTTTACATTTACTTTATTTCCTTTGAACGGCACCGTAGATTTCCTTTTTCTTAAAATTAACAATTAAGGAATAATGCGAATACAATGCACAATGACTATCATCTCTCATCAGGAAAGTGGGATGAGAAGAGAGATTCCAGAAAACATGAGAAAAGTCTCACCTACTCGACTCTGGATTCGAACTACTGCCTCTGTGGTTTTATGCACCCCGCATAATTTAGCCAAATTTGATCTTTTTTGTGTGCAGATTTTCTGATTATTTCCTTTATCATTCTTTGTTAAAATTAACAGAATCGCATAATTTCACATTTTTGGGCTCAGTTTGCTTAATTTCAGAATTTTTCTTGCATAAAACGACGGGGACAGAAACTACAATCTTTCTCGTCATTATCAAATTTGTAACCACTTGAGTCCTTGAGGCCAATACTCTGGTGTTAAATTAGATGGTAGATCTATTACAAAGAACACTAAAAAAGCTGCTTAGCATTGTGCAACAAGAAAGTTCTGAAAGTCGCGATTCGGGGAGATGCCAAGAAGGGCCTAGTGGAGAGAAGCATAGCTTTAAAATAAAGAGGAATAATCTGTGGGACCTTCAGTTGCTTCCAGATACAATGTTGAAACTAAAGAAGAGCGTAAAAGGTTATTGTCGAATGTGAAGGTAAAAGAAGGCGTGGTCATGTCAAAATAGCAGTACATCCTGTTTGTTACCGCTTAGGCTCCGGTGGAAGTATCAAATAAGTTCAACTGTACAGTTCTGTCCCCGTCGTTTTATGCAAGAAAAATTCTGAAATTATGCAAATCGAGCCCAAAAATGTGAAATTACGCGATTCTGTTAATTTTAACAAAGAATGATAAAGGAAAATAATCAGAAATTATGCAAAAAATTATTAAATTTTGCTAAAGTATGCGGGGTGCATAAAACCATGGGGACAGACAGTTTGAATATCTAGGATGTATGGTTTTTTACATCTGATACCAAATATTCCTCAGAAATAAAACGAAAAATTAAAATGGCTTTCAATAAAAAGAGGCCTAATCCTGAAAAATAGAAACATCCCAATGACTATCAAATTAAAAGTTCTTACAGGAATGTAAATATTCAACCTTTCTATACAGCTGTGAATGCTGGACAATCACTAAAGACAGAGAAAATAACATAATAAAAGCTACAGAAATATGGTTTCTCAGGAGACTGTTGAATTCTCTTGGAAGGAAAAGAAATAAAAACAAAATTGCAATTTTTCAGACATTTGAATAGATAAATGTCTTTAAACACTGGTAAAATTGAAGGCAAACGACGCAGGGGTGGACCCGGAGGATTACGTACTGGTGAGTCTAAACAGATGGGGGACACGATAGGTAAAATCAAGAAAATAAAGTAGCTTTTTGAAGGTATCCGAGCATAGGAATAAAATGGAGAACCATATGATCGCCGATGCCTGTAGCAGATTCATGATGGTCGCCTACTTGATGATGAGAGGGACTGTTACATGTATATTATGATGAGATAGGTTAGGTTTGGATCCATTAAGCTGCTGCTTGTTTCGCCAGATTTACCCAGGGGTTCATTATAGGGTTATGGGGCATCGTGGTGAAATCAAGCGCTCGTCAAATAAATAAAGAAATCGAAGAAACTGCAATTTTTCTGTCTTTTAATTTTATCGAATTTGTGTGGAGGTTTTTTTTACTCAACGCCTTAAGGCCCATTTAATAACACATTTCTGTTTGGATTTTACTCAAAAAATGTTGATTTAAGGCATAAAATGTAAATTTGCAGTTCAAGGACTCCCAAACTTTGGCAGTGCCATTTCCTCGAAATATTATTCTACCTCTGAAACCAGGCGACCCCCACCCCCTTCATTCGTAAATATCTCGATTTCTATTCATGATATGTGGGTGTTGTTTTTTTTCATCGAAAGCAAAAAAAAAAAAATTAGAAAATGAACAGCTTTTAATAAAATGATACCAACAACTCTAAATGTCCAAAAATTGACGATCGAGCGCCTGTTTCCACCGCGTCGTGACACGTACTGTATTCCCAGCAAAAACAACATGTGTCACGGCAGCTATTGTGCGCAGAATCGAGCGCTCGTAAGTTTTGGGAGCATTATATATAAATTATAATGACTACATGTATTAATTTGTGAAATTTGGTTGAACCGCCTTGCTTTTTATTTTTTTTATTTTTTTTAAAGATAGGCCTACTTCAACGACAGTACGGTCCTTGGCCTATCGTGTATGTTGAATAGATGTCGAGGTGTAGGCCCTATGTGTGTGTATGCATTTGCGATTGAAAGAGTTATAGGGGTCACTTATTGGTGTCAGGGATATGCCCTAAAATTGGAAAGAAAATAGTCGTTAAATTTGGTGACTTCATAATTAAGCTGTAATATCAATGGAAACAGCAAACTTAATTTTTGTACCTTTTGAATAACATTATAGGCCTATCCTATTATCAGACAAATCCTTGCGGGATTTTTTTTACGTTGACATAAAAGGTGTTGAGCCCAAAATAAAAGAAAAATGTCTAGATCTATACCTTAAGGAGCTTAGACCTTTTAATCTCCTTGATCTATATAAATTTTGAAACGGGGGGGGGGGGGGGGGGGGGGGGGGGGGTGACAATTTCTTCGATATCATGATTTTGACGAGCGCCTGATTTCATCACGATGCTCACAAAGATCTGATCATGTGACACAAATCATTAATTTTTACTTCTCAGAATGAAAACCTCGAATTTAGGGAAAAGATTTATGAACCGATAGGCTGCATGTATATAATATGTAAAGTGAATTGAACTAAGGTCCGATCAAAATGTTTATGGCACAGCTGAATTGTTGACTGAAGAGAATGAATGGTTTCGAAAAAAACCTTTTAATTGTGTAGTCTACTGAGGACACAGGTTCACATTATCATCATTCTAGAAAAAGTATAGAGTATGAAAGGAGAGTATTGGGCGTGTGGTCGGTTTGTTCAAAATGAGCCTATAATTATATAATATATCATAATATATAATAATATGATAACTATATTAATATTTCAAAATCTATAGAAGTAGAAGAAGGGTTCAACGTTTCGCAAACAGTACTGTCATAATTCCTCAAAAAAAGAGAAACAACTTTATAAATGCAAAGAAAAAAATTCGAGCCTGCCAGGATTCGAACCTGGAATCTTCTGATCCGTAGTCAGACGCGTTATCCGTTGCGCCACAGGCCCCGTTGATACCCAGGTGCATGGTGAGCTCAATATCGAATATTTTTGGATATTCCGCCGTTCTTCTCGTAATATCGGTTATTTTTCTTTTTTTCTGGTTATATTTGCGCTATGAAACGACCAACAATTACTCGGTATCCTTTCTGTGAAGCCCACAAGCAAAATAGATAAGACACATGATGCCTTCTCTTGCATTTTCGCGCCATTTATTATCTATTGAAGGGAGGCTACCCAGGCTGGATGTTTGTTTCGAGAAAGAAGGAAGGTGGGGGGCGGGCAAATGTTATTATTTTCAAGTACTCTCCCTTCCTTCTAACTGTCAGTGAAGTGATATCATTTTTCATCTCAATCTCATTCTTTTCATTACAGTTCAAACGAGGTTCAATATTTATTATTACATATCTAGTTAGAAGCGTATCGTTTGTTTTGATTAGGCCTAATCCGGCGAAAACAAAAAGACGTTGCCGGTTTTCGTTTTGTTTACTTTCGACATTTTCTTCACACTGAGAGTTTATAAACTCGGACACCGTAGGCTACTTGTCGTTAAGTTTACATCACGTGATCACTGCAGTAGCCCAGCTTGCAGCGGCTGCTGTGGTGTGTAGCCTAACAAAAGTTTCTAATTCGCACGTACTCGTCCATCCTCCAAATTTACGAGAAGAAAGTGTAGCCTTGAATATTAGAATCTTTATCTGTGAAGCGGTAAATTCTATTAAACTTTTATTTTACTCTCCTTTATGTTGCAGGACTCGGTTTAGTTTTAGAATCTAGTTATATATATGCAAACCATCCCGCGGCCAAAGATGGTAGAGAGAGAGAATCTTTGCTGCGGCTGCGGGCTTAGAATAGAATAATGATCTCTAGATTATATATCTAGACCTAAATTCTAGATTCTAGATCAAGATCTAGATCTAGATATATGTAGATCTATAGTTTTATAGTGGGGTAAAAAATTATGACATAATTATTCTCAAATAAAATCTGCATAATAGAGTCTAGATCTAGATCTAGATCTAGATTAGCTGTCACCCATAATTATGACATACTTTGCACAGCAGGTTTTTTTCCCCATTACCCATGACTCCTTAAAATTTTAAATCGTATACCATCTTAATCATCTTGTAAATCACATGTTTTGTCTGACTTTAATTACTTTAAAATTCTGTACATTATCCTGAATATCATCAAAATTACTATCAGAATACTGATTGCACATGTAGATCTAGTTAAACAATTTTGGCCCTATGGTTCATCTCTGAATATTATTTGTCCAAGCACCTGCTGAAGGTTTGTGAGTGTAAACATAGATCTAGGCCTCTATAAATATTATGAATTTCCGTTTGCCAGTGTTCCTGAAAGGAAATTCTAATATAGGTGATCGACAACAGATTATTTCAAATAAAGTGTTGAGATGTATAATTATATAATTACTTGATATATACCTTTTACTTTAAATAATTTGGTTACAAATAAACACTGCACCACCACTTGTAAATTCTAGATATGTTTAATTAATATATGTTAACACAATAATAGACATACTTGGAGAGTGAAATCAAAGTACCGACCAAGATGTCAGTTCCTCATTTCTTTTTTTTTTAATTTCCTGAGAGCTAAGAAACTAAAAAATTGACTTTGACTACATTGATTTCACAGGTCATAAACTTAAATGGTTTATAGATTAGTGGGAATGCATTTCAGACATATTGTTTTAATAAAAATGCCTATAGGACATAAAATATATGAATTGATCTTTCAAATTGTTTGTTCTCCCCTTCTTGTTTGTTATATTCGGTCTGTCCTTTTTATTTCTCTAGCTAGATGCTATTATGAGCATTTGCTGGAGCACAATTAATTAGTATATGTGGAGAATATACTCTTTTACAAAGCCCTGCGGGCTCTAAACCAAGTATGACAGAAAACCTTCAATTTGTTCGTTATTCTGAGTAAATGTAATTTTTTAAAACTTAGAATCTCATTTTCCAAGAAAACGTGACATTGGACAATTTAGTTCTTGGAGATCTACTTGGAGATCTATGAGTTTTGATTGTGAATTGTCGTACGTCTATCTCCAAATAAAAGATCTATTCTAAAAACAAGAATACAAAACAACGTGTACAAACAACCCACCAACAGTTGAATTAGGGATGCAAACAGTTGTCACCTATACATATATGTGTGTTAATAGAGTGGGAAAATATCAAAACAGTAAGAAAACAATAATAAAAATTTCAAACTTGATTTTCTCAAAACTGAGTAAAATGCTTTTTGGACAAAATAGTTCTCAGGCGACGTAATGTCAGTGTTCACAGTTTTTTCTTTTACCCCCCAAAAATTTTGTCACATAATTTAAAGTTATAGCAACAAAGGGTGCTGCAGTGTTAGAGGAAAAGGTTGCTGTTACCCACACCACACTTAGGTTGCTGTTAGTGTTAAAGGCAGATGTGCTCTTATCTGGGTTGATGCTGTTAAGTGAACACCACTGCATGATGTGAATATAATGTCTTTTAAAGCTTTATAAACGATCCAAACACATTCTGAGGTGGTAATTTATTTTGTAATTTATTTCCAAAGACATCTCATCCTGTGGTTGGAACTTAACTTCACAGCGCATGGCTGCGGCTTAATAAAATCTGAACTGTGAAGAGGAAAATCATCAAGACTTACTTCGTCATGTCAGGGTCTGTTGTTACATCTCAGCCTGGAGGACAGTCCGAGACAGTTCACACATCTCAACCACTGGGTGGTCGCCATAGTCAAATGTCTGACGATTCGAGTATTGTGGGAGTTCGGAATAGCTCTGCATTAAAGAGACGATGTTGCTGTGGGGAGAACGATGACTGGAATTACCCATGGGATAAAAGCATACCCAAGTGTTGTCTTCTGGCTTGCTGTATGTGGTATCCTTTCTGCCTTGTGTTCCCTTGCTCCTTGTGTATTCCAAGGTAAGTACCTTCTTCTCTTTCAGAGTCTTGTGCTTATTGTTGTAGTTGTATATTAATATGACATGTGTATGTGTTGTTGTTGTTGTCTTCTTCTTCTCCTCTGCTTCTTCTTCTATTTCTTCCTTTCATTTCCTCCTTCTCCTCCTCGGTCCCTATTATCATTACAGTGTATCATCACTATTGTTTCGATTTAAGTTTATCATGCTTATTCTCAATATAATATAATTATTTTTTAGGTCATTTAAAAATTATTATGATATTTAACAGTCTAATAATAGTCCTTAGAGGGTGCAGTGGCAGAGCGGTTAATGCACTCATCTCCAAAGTGGAAAGTCCGGGTTCGAGCCTCAGTTTGGACACAGATTTTTTTCGCCCCCTAAGCTCCTGCCCATCCAGCAGTAATGGGTAACTGACTTCGAGTTGCGGAAGTAAAGGCGGCGTAGAAAGGAACTGGCCGCCCTACCACAATGGGCCGAAGTCCCAGCTGAAGTTGTCTCACAAGGCAATCCCCAATGTCCAGATTGGATGCGGGAACAACTTTTACTTTAATAATACAACTTATAATATGTTAATATATATCAGTGGCGGTGGGTAGTGAAGGGCTCACGGGCTTGAGCCCCTACCCCCTTCCCACCCACCACCCCCAACTCTATCCCAAAGTAAATTAAAGTTTCTCTACAATGAAATAAGCAGTTGAAACCGTTATGAAGGCACGCAATGAACGAAGAGTGATCAACTTTGCGGCTTGCTCGCTTATCCAATCACTGTTGTCACCGCTTACAACTATAGTAACCCAGCAGCCAATCAAATGTCTTTAGGGCTCAGCAAAGATGAGCCCTTTTCCCACAGCCCGTCCTTAATGAAACTCTTTTTGTAAAAAGGTAGAAGACTGGGAAAAAATAACACTGTAGCGAGGGCTCACGCTCTCCTAGCCCTGACAATGGGGTGAAAGTTTACAACACACTTTCCCCCACTGACACAGATACCTATGCGCTTATTGGTTCTTTGTTGGGTGCGTTCAACTTTCTCGACTACACTGCCTAATCCAGCTCATAGAAGTATTATGTTTGAAGTGCTGTGTGAGCATGTTTGTGTTTGGCCCGCTGAGATTTAACAGTTATAAATCAGGTCGAACTACTTGTAAGGCAACTCTTTCATCACACGAAAACTAATTAGAGGAAATTTGGAGGTGAATCGGCTTCGTCCCCACCATCAACAAGAATTTAACTAAGAACAAAGAGATGGAAAACAAAGGCAACTCTTCTCCTTTGAATGGTTCTCAAACTGCCGTGGCTTACGTTGGGTATAGAAAAATCATCACTGTTTAATTCTTATATTGCTTGTTATTTGGTGGTAAAGAACTGGAAGCAACCTAAGCCCCACCCAAATTTTGGTCCACCCACCGCCACTGATATAGATATATATATTATTATTGTTTATAATAATTCCTGTCTCTCTTTTTTATTTCATAACAGTAGGATTAATTAAGTTACTGCTAAATATTATATGGCTAATATGATAATAATTTAAATGAATTTCATCTTCTATGTGGGGAAGCAGTATTTTTAATTTTAAGGTACTGCTACATGTACTAATTTACTTGGGGGGTTGGAGTTTCATTTCTCTAATTAATGAGAATTATTTAAGATTATTTTAGGGAGTTATAAAAATATAAAGCATGCATTGCATCATGTCAATTCTGGATAGCAGGCAATCTATTTCCAACAGTGTGCTCGCCTTTGCACTGGGAATGTACAAAACTGTAGGCCTACTTATATTTTGTTTTGAGCAGTTCATTTAATTAAGGGCTTAAGATTTTTATTAAAGCTTTAAATATGTTTTTAAAAATAAAAAGAGTTTAGAAAATAATGTTACAACAATGGCACATCTTTTCCTCTCCGTTCTCACACATTTCAAGTAAGCAAAGTAGGCTACCTCTCCTTTTGGGGCCTTTCTTTTTTTTTACTTGGTACTCCAACACAACGCAGACACCACCCCATGCTCTAGTTACACAGACTACACGCACAAAGTGACACACAGAGACACACACACACACTCACTCACACACACACACACACACACACACACGCACTAACAACACATTTATCATGTACATAACTTTTATATATATATTAATATTTGTGCATGCAAATGCATGATGGTTGGCAGGTGCTCTGGTGTGGTTTGCTTCTTCTTTCCTATCATACATCTATCGTCTTTATCTCCCCTTCTTACTTTTTTATGCTTGTTACTCTTTTGTAATGCCTCTAATCTTCTGGCGCTCATTATATGACGTTATACAGTTAGGAGCGCCGTAAAACCTCCACTAATACTAAAAAAAACTTACAGCTCTCTTTCTTTTTTTGTGTTTGCTACTCTCTTGTGTCACCTCTAATCCTCGCCACTTTCAAGTTATTTGACCTAATTGTGTTGCAAATGCCATGAAAAAAAAAATCATTGTACATGTAAGATTATATCATTTGTTTAACATTACTTTGTCGTATTTTATGAACATTGGAGTGTGCTGATAGTGATAATGAGCCTGAAGCGATCAGTGTTAGTGTTAGTGTTATTAATGGAATAGTGTTTAAAATACACTGGAATTGAAACCTCTTACTTTACATTTCAATTACAATTTTACATTATTGTTTACCTAAAATGACCTTGCATTACGTTTGGACCATGTTTGTTGAAAATAAAAGTTGTAATACATGTATAGGCCTACTGTATCTTATTTACTTTAAATATGCTTGATGTGTAGTTGTGCGTGTAGAAAAAATGTAACAACAAGTCTGTTTCTTTGTCATGTCCCCAGGTACAGAAATTTGTTGTGCTGTGTCCAGGAGGGGTGTTGGGACGGCACTTGCTGTGGGGCCTGTATCTGTGGAATACCACCTAACGGGTCGGGGAAGGATATCAAGGCCGTTAGGGGCGTTGCCAGCTCCAGCAGTTCTCTCGGGTAACGTTCACACTTCTTCTACTTGTACCGGTGATAAGTGTGCCTCAGCCTCAGAGTCAGAGGGTTACATTCCCATCTTACTGGTGTCCTTCTCAAATTACACTTTGTGCTTTGAGAGGCCGGAAAGTTTGACCAAGACAAGGATTTAAGTAACAAACCTTGACCCAACTTTTAAGTTTAACTCCTTGGTATTGCTTCAACTGTTCTGCAGTTTAGGAATCTCTTCCAATAGGAAGTTATAATTTTAATACATGTAATAGAATTAGAGTCTTGATTTGTGATCATTTAAAAAGTAATTTCTTCAGATTCTCCTGCTTTCTTGACCAACAGGCCTACACACAGGTATTCAAAGCCGGGAAAGTCCTTGTAATTCCCCTGCTACTAATAGCCAGAATTGGTGCCATCGCCCACAGCAAAAGATAAGTCATCATAACCTTCAATTCTTCTATTTCGCTGGAGACATATTCTCTTCTGTGGATGGTTTGGTCGTCGTAAAACTTTGAAGGACAGGCTATTATTAGTCAACAGTAACAGTGGTGCAAATATTGTGGTCCATTTCATTATTGCGTAGACGGACAACATAACTGTGGTTGAGAGATGAATTAGATGGCAACTTTTCATAAACAGTTGAGTTGCAGCATCTTGATCAAAAATAAAATCACAATATATACTCCTCTGTGTATAATTTACATTATAAAGTATGCTTATCTTATTTATTGAATGGATACACTCATCATGTACTTATATTATCCTCTGAAAAGTCCAGATCAATTCAATAAGTGGGCCTACGGCTTACTAACTGAATTTGCTTGTTTACTATGACTTGTTGACTTTTGACAAACTTTTTGTTTTCAACCGATCACTTGACCATTTGTCCAGTTTGTTTATCACGAAAGAATTTAACCTTGTGCCTCTTCCCGTTTCTATGCAACAGTGATGTTCTATTATTATAATAAATGCTGAAATTTATTTTTGCGAAATGTTTCTTTTCTCTTTCAATGAATTTAGTTGACACTTTTTATTTTGTTTGTCATGTTTTCACGAAAGATATTATTCATGTGCCCTTTATTTGTGCAGGGTTTTTTTTTTTTAACTTTAAAAAGTATTACTGAGAAGCATACTACAGCACTGACAATGTGATCTGTTATAATTTATACAGGTTATACACATTTAAAAAATTGTATACTATTGTCGTTTGCATTGTAAAGGTGCACTAATACTTAAACCATGTACAGGGCCATAATGTGCTCATGGGACAGCCTGTGAATCTCTCAAAGGTTATTAGAGGTCAAATGTACAAAAAATATTTAGGTTCCAATAAAGCAAGCCAGCAAGCAGAAGTAGGCCTACCTGAAATATCTCAGCATCAAGACCTCTACTTATTGTCCACAAGCTGTTCAAATGTACAAAGCCTGAAATTTTGAGGATTTTTTTTTTATAGCAGTTTTTTAATCTCTGTATAGATATATATATATATATATATAACAATTTTTGTTTTACATAGATCTAGGTATACAGTAGAACACGGCAATAGCAGGAGTTTTAGTTCCAGAAGAAAAATCTCGCTATAGACAAGTTCCTGCTATAGGAATGCAGAGGGGAATTACCGAAAAATTGCACACTACGTGCTCTCCTCTTCTTTTACTGTCTTTTTAGTTTTAGCCTAGCCTAGGCCTAGGGCTACGGCACATCACTTTTAGAGTGGCTCCTGTAACGCGTGCTGTAGAGCGTGGATATAATGCGCTGTATAAAAATGCAATTATTATTATTAGGTAGGAGTTGTCTACTGTAATGTAATATCCATCAGCTCTTTGCGGAGAATGCAGTTCCCATGGGGGAAAAATATCCTAGTGTATCCCACAAATCCCACGTTGGCTCTGATTTATTACGATTTTTTGGGGGGTGGGGCGTAATGGATTCCCCACTTGAATTGTTCGGATTTTGTTGATAAAGGCGTAAAACATGAGGAATCGTGTGAACAAGTTGACTGGGGTTCAGCATGGTGGATTTTAAAACTGTTCATGTTTTTGTATTCTAGCTGAGAGTATGCTCAACTCAAAGCAGGAGTTAGTTGTTAATTAACTACCGGTAATCTATTACCCTTCTATTACCGAGTGGCCACACGTGTATTGAATGAATACAACATGTGTGTATCATTGTGAATAGTGCGCGAGTGAGAGTGTCTGAAGGAAGAATATATAATATATATTCTGTACAGATTTTTTTACAGCAGACTTTGTTTTGTTTTATAACATAAAGACGAAATTCCTGTCACCATGAAAAGATACCAAATCTACTCTCATTGTTTTTTCTTCCTTGTAATCCATGCATTGCGACTGCTCTTAACTGCTCTGGTCAAATGAAGTATGAAGTTTGTGTTATCAGGGTTTTACTTGTGAATGTGAAATGTCATAACTGTGATATATAATAATTTTTTTTTACTCCACTGCACTTTGAAATTTGATTTACTGTAGACACGTCATGTATAAATGACATACAGGGTTGTTTATGCAGTGTGCTCATAGAGCTTTTTTTTTTAATGTAAAAAATTATTTTACTGCCTGTCTGTGAGTTTATTTTCTGGACAACTAATTTATACAAACATTAAATGTCTGTGCAGGCACATGTTTTTAGCTTGAGAAACAAATAAATTTCCAATTTTATGGAAAATAAAGGGTTGTCTTGTCATTACTTCAATGAAGTTTGTTTATTTTTATGATGAATTTACTTGGAGTGGACCTTGTCTTTTGGCCCAAAGCACCAGAGGCTCTCTAAACAAAGATATATGCTCAGAGAAAAATGAAAGGAACTGATAAAATAGTCGATTGCATAAATCATGATAACATACATGATGAACACGATAGGGTCCATCTTTCATGAAAGTAGGCTTTATGTACGTATAGACTTCACAACTCAATTGTGTGCTACCGAGACATGCCCTAGAATAATATTATTAATATCCATGCATATCCAACTTTCTGAGAAGCATTCAGTACCAGGTATCTTTTGAAGGGGCCCTCAAATACTTGTGCGCAGACACTGACATCTTTCTCTGTCCTCGCCAGATAACCATTTTCACTTGAATGAAGTGGGGAAAATTTGAGTTCAGTGTTCTGTTCACAACATGGGTCTCCTGTGCATAGAAACATGTTAATATCCCCCGCCGTTCCCAAAGGGGGTATATTAACATGTTCTTATGCACAGTAGAATTGTAAATGGGCTGACTTATAATCTATGTCATGCTCATATTGTGCCGAAACAACATATGAGGAACTGCAGCTGCTTTTTCTTTCCTCATCCTTACTATCGTCATTTATACTCTACTTCTTTTGTATGTTTGTCACTCTCTTGTGAACTGCTATTTCCAAGGTGCCTTGATAGTCGAAGCAGACTTTGTGCTGTTTGGGCTAGAGAGGTGAGCAGAGTAAGCCTGATTCTTCGTTTGGACTTCTCTGTTGACATCCACCCCTTGGCGCTCATATGACCATATGCAGTTGCGAGTGCTGTAAAAACCTTACTAAAACTAAAAACTAAAACAACACGGGTCCCAAAATGGGATTTGAACTGGCGAGCTGGCAGTTACAAGTCTTGTGGCCTTACCACTGTGCTACCAATGCCGCAGTTAAAAAGCTGCCTTACTTATTTTATGTACGCAGAATGCTTAATTTCACAGCATGTCTACCAAGTTGACCTGCATCTTCTTTCTTTGACAATGGAGTTGTCTTTTATAGATTGTTTACTTCAGAGGAAAGTGAAAGAGAATTTATTATAAGGGTATAGGCGGCTGTGGTGAGGGCTGTGACACTGTAGAATTTACTGTGGGCCAAATCTATATGATATTCATTCACTTTATGTGAAACTCAGTAACTAAGAACAAAAGAGAAAACAGTCACATCCATGGTAAAAGCTCATTTAGGTCAGAAGATGTTTCATCATTATAAAGTTCATTGCTAGGGGAGTTTCCTAGATCTAGTATATTTTTTTTAAATATTAAAAATTGCTTCTCTCATCGAGGCAGTAATGAATCATGAACATTATAATGCTATGATAATGACTATGTTTTTTCCTTACTCTCCTGTGACCTGAATGCTAATCAGAAAAAAAAACAGTTGTTATTCCAAGCTTTACCACCCATCATTTTGCTTCATCACTTAAGTCCTCGCCCAGAATCTAACAAAAACATTTTTATTTCCTTTCCATTTTTTTTTCTCTACAGTACCGCCCTCCTACTTTGGGGAAAGGCTGATATAATTGGGTGAGCTTTTCATCCCCAGACAGGTCACCAGGAATAGGGGGACATTTTTCCTGGAAGGATGAGAAAAATGTGGACAACTATGTACAGTACAGGCCTATAATATTTATAGACTACCAACTTTCACTTGAAGCAGCAAGCTTTGGCTTTCTATATATCCTGACGTTCATATCATGTTTATAGATCTCTTTTTTATGGGTGTGAAACTCACCAGCAGAAAAAGTGACAGTAGAAAAGTACTCCTCTGCAGCTCCTTTTATTTTTATGAAAGGGAAACAGGTCCAGATGGTTGTAAGCAAGTTGTAGGTATTTCAAAGTTGAAATGCTCTGCTCGCTCAGAAATTGCTTTCCTTTTTTTTTTTAAAGAGGACGTTTCCATCCACTAGATACAATTGAGGCCAAAGTCTCATCAGCTTCATGTAGCACCTATCCCGCTTTATGAAACGGCACAAAGCCGAAAAAACAACAGATCACTTAGAAATTTCTAAAATTGTACCTTTAGCTTAAAACAGACTTTACTAAAGACACACCTGAGTTTTACTTACCTTTTCATGCAAAGTTGTCCTTTTTCTAGGAATTAACATTTGTGAGGCGTGCTGACAAAATGAGTTACTTCTCGCAGTCCACAAATGGAGATATTGACCAAAAATTGACACTATAGGGTCAAATTTGTAAATTTTCTATAGATGCCATATTCTTTAAGTATAACACTCCTTATATTTCATACCTATAAATCGTAAAAACTTCACCTATAAGTGTGATGTATCTATTTCCTTAAGGCCTGAATCCGAGAAGTAACTCTTTTTGTCAGCACGCTTCACATTTGCTCATTTCTAGGTTAGCCCAGAATTTTAATCTTTCTTTGAATGTTCATTTCAGGGGAAGTTGAAGAAATTTTATGGAGAACAACAAGTTACCCTCAAAAGGCAAATCATGTGTGTGCGCCTAGAGAAAGGTACCAAAAGTCGCCCTAGACCGTTTTCAGCTACAGGAGGATAATGACAAAAATCAATTTTTTTACCAAAATGTGTTTCCATAAAAAAATTATAGATCCATCATTTTTGTACAATGTGCTCAAAGGGTTTTCATTGATTTGACTTCTTTAATGTTTTATTTTGAGGGAAGGGTATAACTAAAACAAGTAATGAAAACTGCTTTTAAAAGGTGTTAAAATCTATTGAGGAAGCACATTTCCTCTTCCCTGCTATGTTTTACCATTGAATTCCATTCATGATATCAATGTCAATTGGATGCCAAATTGGAAATTAATTTTCCAGGAATAAATACATTTAAAAAATCGTTTTTTTTAAGTTTGTATGCGTTCCCACATTTGTTAAACTCTCAAAAACTACTTGAGATATTTAAAAAATTCTAAAAACCCCTGTGTTCAGCATGGAATTTCTTATAATAAGGTACAACCCTTAACTCAAAATGGTCAAAATCCGACTTTTGGTACCTTTCTTTAGGCACACACACAAATATTAGGTTTGCAAATCATTTTTGCAATCTCTTGTAATTTAAAATAGGCCTATTGAATGGTATGACTTAGACTACTTAATTTAAAAACATTCACTTGTTCCCAACAGTTCAAAAACGGTCAGTCTGAAAAGGGCCTTATTTCATCAGAAACACAAACAGATTATGACAACAGAATTAAAAACACTCATAATAATATAGTAGTAAGAGGTGCAGACTTGCCAATGATATATACCAATCATAACATGTGTGAAGCTGGATTTCACACTACCAGATCAGGGTTATTAAAATTATTATTTCAATGAAATATTGCTGCACTTTCCCCATTGGGTTAATTTCTTTTATTACTATTATTATTTTATTATTATAATTATCATTTATTGTTATGTCTATCATCATATAGTAGTAATCTCTTTTGTTCATATCAGTTTTCATATTTGCTTGGTGGTACAGTTCTGGTTCCTCTACTGTTGTTCTCAAACACTTACAACCTGTCTACAAACACATCACAACATGCTGACTACATGGCCATTACTGTATAGAATCTTAAATGTAACGCAGAATAAAGTGATAATAATGAATGCACAGAAATAATTTTTTACACCAATAATTTTTATTTTTACTCTCATAAAATAAAAAAACAACAACAAAGAGATCACAACTGCCAATTGTTAAGCAAGACAAATTAATAATAATAATAA